GCATGCGGAAGTCCGCCAATGAGTGAAGGGTGGGCGTGTAAGAGGACACTAAAGGCACGCCCCTAGCAGGTACTAGTCGCCAATGAGTGAAGGGTAGGCGTGTAAGAGGACGCTAAAGGCACGCCCCTAGCAGGTATCAGTCGCGTGAGTACATTGTAAAATGGGTAAATAAAGTACAACCGAACTCAGTTTTGCTTCCGTTGCCTTTTTAAAAACGTGTTTTTAGCGTGTGTCCATATGTGTTAGCTGCTACCGTATGCTTTAAGCTAACATACCTGGTATGTTTTAGCGTGCATGCATGCTACCATATGCTTCAAGCTAACGTGTTTTTAGCGTGCATGCCGTATGTTTAAGCTGGCGTATGTTTTACCATGCCTGGCTGCGCCCAATAATACAGTGCGTTTTGTGTATGTGTCAAATACAGAAATAGCACCCGTTACTGAGACTGCGCCCAACAATACGGTGTGCCGAATGGTCGTGAAAATATGGTACATGCATGGCAGGCTGATTGAACACTCGAAATTGTCCCTAGGTGTGGTTGTTCGTCTCTGTGGCTGGCAACCAGTTCAGAGTATCCCCTGCCTACTGCCTGAAGACAGCTGGGATAAAGCGGGGCTGTGAAAAATGCTGTACATTTCAGGTGCAAAAAAACACAAGCGCCCCGGGGCTGTCCAGCAACGACAGTCAAATGGCACCTCCCAATCAAAATCAGTGCTGCTATATGCATGCTGCCGAGAAGGCGCAACCACCAAGCACAGATTCTTCTGCTTTGACAAATGTCGTAGCCAAAAAAATGCTGAAAACAATCCACATCAGGTCCACACAACGTAACAACAAACACAATGTGACAAAACAAAACACAAAACAACAAAAAAGCAAGGCTCTTGAGAGCACTTGCAGACGGCTGCCTACTCGGGCACCATCTTGGACTTCATGTGCATGGAAGGATCAATCATTGCCTTGGCTGGAAATATCTCATCTCATTTTGAACTCATCCGAAGTTCATGCAACAAGGATAGCATAAATGTTTTAATCTTTGATTTTTTTTTTCCTAGCAGGTTAACCAGATCCATCTTGTATTTGTTAGGCTTTCTGAGAGATGGGCACAGAACCCACACTCAGGCACAATGAACTCAGAAGGATTTTATAGCCAGGAAGTGGGACAGGTCGAGGTGGCAGGAACAGAATGGTAGTCAAAATGACCAATTCAAGGAGTACAGAAACGCAGGATCTTAACAGCTTGGCAGAAGTGAGTCCAGCGGGAAAGTTCATGGGATGGGATGGTGCTAATCCAGTGACAAAGTCTAGTGCTATGTGGGACCAGGGTCTGTTAGGGATAGGCAAGGTGTGGAGTAATCCTGCTGGGGCCTGATGGATGACTTGCTACGGGCACAAGTGGTACAGGCGGGAACAAAGACCCGGGTGTCTTTCTGTATGCCAGGCCACCAGAACTGTCTCTTGAGCAGATTCAGGGTGCGGTTGGCTTCAGGATGGCAGGCAAACTTAGAGGTGTTGGCCTCATTAGACCAGCAGAATGGCACAGAAGAGGATGTGAGTCTGTTTAGTGGTGAGGCCACCTCATTGTAGTCCCGAATGAAGCGGCAGTAGAAATTCGCAAACCTCAGGAAGCATTGAAGTTCCTTGCGCAAGCTGGGGACTGACCACTCCTCCTCGGCCTGAATCTTGCTTGGATCGGCTCGAACTTGTCCCTCCTGGATGACGTGGCCCGAAAGAGACACGGTGCTCATCCCAAACTCACATTTCTCTGCCTTGACAAAAAAACTGTTTTCCAGCAACCTCACCAGCAACTGCCTCACATGAGACATGTATTCCTCTGGGTCTGGTGAAAAAATGAATGTCATCCAAATACGCAAACACAATGGTTCAAAAAGTCACAGAGCACATCATTAATCAAAGCCTGGAACACAGTGGGCACATTGGTTAGACCAAAAGGTATTACTAAGTACTCGAAGTGACTGATGGGAATCTTGAAGGCAGTCTTCCACTCATCCCGTTCCTTCACATGCACCAGGTGATATGCATTTCAGAGATCCAATTTTGTGAAGATCCTTGCAGCCTGTAGGAGCTCGAAATCAGACTTCATTAATGGCAGGGGGTATTTGTTCTTCACCGTAATGCTGTCCAAACCTCGGAAATCTATACAGGGCCTGAGTGACTTGTCCTTTTTGGCAACAAAAAAGAATCCTGCTCCCAAAGGCGAAGAGGAGGGTCTAATGAGTCCGGCTGCCAGGGATTCTGAGATGTAGGTTTCCATTGCCTCCCTCTCATGTCATGATAGATGGTATAACCGACTGGCCGTGAGAGGGGCGCCAAGCAGCAGATCAATGGCACAATCGTAGGGTCGATGAGGAGGTAGGGAGAGAGCCCTGGTCTTACTGAAGACTTCCCTTAGGTCATGATATTCAGGAGGAATGAGGGACAAATTGCGTGAAGAGAAACGAGTGGGGTTAGGAGCAAGGGGGGACAAGGCGGACTGCAGACAAACAGAGTGACAATGAGTGCTCCAACCAATGATCTTGTTCAAGGACCAATCAATATGCGGGTTATGCAACCGCAACCAGGGGTAGCCAAGCACTAGAGGGTTATGTGGAACAGAGATTCTGTTGAGGGCAAGCCTTTCATGATGGTTGCCGGACAGAACCAGCATGACAGGGGAGGTCCTTTGGCACATCTTTGTGAAGACCTCACCCTCAATACCCACGGCAGGAACAGGCTTCTCCAGTGGCTCCAGTACACACCCCAACTGCTTAGCGAGTTTAATATCTAAGAAACTGTCTTCTGCTCCTGAATCAATAAGAGCCTGGAGCTGGAAAACAGTGTTAGATACATGTAATGCGGCTGGCACAGATAGGCGGGTGGTTTGGGGAGTTTCACAGGCTGGGTGCTCATCAGGACTCCCTCTTCTACCGACGAGCTCCCCTTTTGGGCGGGAAGGACAGGTGTTAATGTAATGGCCCGGTTTACCACAGTACAGACACTCACCAGCACGTATCCTGTGGAGACGCTCTTCCGGGGTGAGCTTGGCTCGACTCAGTTGCCGGGGTTCTTCCTCCGCAGGGCCGACCGGGAGCTGGCCTGACTGGTTCGTGGACTGTTGGACCGGAGATGTCCTTTGTCTTTGCCTCTCAACCTATTCTCTATTCTGATGGAGAGAGAGACTAGTGCGGGCAAATTGGAAGGCACATCTCTAGTCGCCAACTCGTCCTTTAACCTCTCGCTTAGACCTTCGGTGAAAGCCGCCCGTAGAGCGGCGTCATTCCACCGAGCTTCTGCTGCCAGTGTCCAAAAATCCACAGAGAAGTCTGCCACAGAGCGGTTACCTTGCCGCAGCTTCAGGAGTCAATTAGAGGCATCCACAGCAGAGTTGGGGTGGTCAAACACAGTCCTGAGTCTAGCAACAAAGTCGGAGTAGGTCATCTTGGAAAACTCACTGTTGCTGATGATGTGCCGTCCTCACCACGCCTTCTATCTCCCATGTCAGGGAAGCAACAACACATCCTGGGATAAGGATGGTCTTGGGGTGTTCAGTAGGCTTTTTTTTCCAAGAGCACCCTCTATCCTACTCTATCCTCCAGTATCCTACTCAACTGACTCAGTTGAGTAGGATAAGGGCACTGTTGGAAAATAGTCCACACTGGACTAAGAAGCCTCAACATTTTTTCCAAGTCCCCCATAGAACAGGTCTGGGTCACTCATATGACCATCCTGGCAGGCTGTCGAGGCAGGTGTCACTTCGGCCAGCGAGGGGAGCCTGGAGTCTTGAACTGACCTGACGAGACAACTCAGAGATATCTGTGCTGTATCCCTTGGCATGACAGGGCCTGGTGCATTGGGTCCATTCTTGGCCAATTTGTAATGTTAGGCTTTGTGAGAGATGTGCACAGGACCTACACGCAGACACAATGAACTCAGAAGGGTTTTATTGCCAGGAAGTGGGACAGGTCGAGGTGGCAGGAACAGAATGGTAGTCAAAATGACCAATTCAAAGAGTACAGGAACGTAACGGCTTGGCAGAAGCGAGTGCGGCAGGAAAGATCATTGACGAACTGGCAATGGGTGGCTGTTCAGGCTGGCTTTTATGCTGCAAGTGGCTGATGAGCTGAAGACTCGCAGGTGTGTAGGGGAGGCAGGTGCACCGATTAGGGAGGCGCCCACCCCACACTGAAAAAGGTAACAAAACAAAAGGGAGGGGTGACACCATGGACAAACAATGTATGTAACAGTATTTGTTGGGAAAGTAAAAGTTGAGACAAAGTTTGTCTTAGCGACACACTCTGTTCCAAGAAAACATTCACTTTGAGGGTTAAAACATGCACAGAAACTCCTGAAATTTTGCACACACATCAGGCCCGGTAAGGTCATAATTTTATTAGTTTATCGTGTCAAGTATCAAGTACAACTTTATTGTCAAATGTATACAGCACGGACGAAATTTCATCCCTCTTAAACAGAAAACAGACAACAAGAGGAGCCGCTGCAGGTGCCCGCGCCGCCATCAAAAGAACATGTAACATAAAATGATAAAATAATACAACACAACACATAAAAAAACAGACAGACCATAAGTTGGCAGCATATGGAACAGCCCAAGACCTACAAAAAGTCTCTGCAGCTCTCCTCTAAAATCATCTAAAATCAACAGGATGGAGGCCACTTCATTTCCCCAAATTTACACAGCTCTCTTCAGCGCTCTTGTAGATTTTCAGTTGGCGGTTCAGTTCATGTTTCAGTCTTGTGTGTTTTGACCAACTGGCAAGTTATTCATGCTCTTCTGCAGACTTCTACTTTATGCTGTAACTTGATTGACATTGTCACTGTTCAATAAAAACACCAGTTGCTTCCATGTGAATCTTGACAATTATTTTCATAAAGACCAAACTCATTGAATGTTTTTTTTTCTCCTGTCTTTATTTTTGAAAGACAGACCAACCAAACAACTTCCTTGAGAATAAATTTGTTGACATATTTTCCTGTCCTAGGTCCAGCAGCTGTGATAAGTGGTGAAGAAGACTCTACTAGCCCACTTCATCATGTAAATAATGGGATCACCAGCCCATGTATATGGAATGGTGGACTGGAGGCTGTGACTATTGGACTGAACAGGGTTCCTATTATTGAGAATCCACAGTACTTCAGAAATGGACACAACTATCAGAAATCCTCCACCAGTACGTGCAAGTAATTAAAACCACACATTGACAGCGGTGTGTCCTTCATCAGCATTTCCATTGCGCAAACACAAAACTCTAGTGAGCATATTGCCACTGTCCTGTGAAAAACACGCATGCCGATTTTTATCATTTAAAAAAATGTTTTCGTTAATTAATGGGGTGTCCACATTTGGGACATCTGTCTGTTTCACAGGACAGCGACAATATGGAGAGGAGAACAGTTTCCTCAGTTCCAAAATGCTTATTTAATGTTCAAAGGAAAGGTGATGTAACAGCAGTAAACATGCTCCGATCCTATCTTTTTTTGGAAACGTGTTGCAGACATAAAATTGAATGATTAAATCTTTTCAATTTTGTCATTTTAAAAATTAGATACAGTATATAATATGTGTAGTGTATTCAATGAATATAGGAGAACAATGATTTGCTAATCATTCTATTCTTTTTTTATTTACATTTTACACAATCTCCCAACTCAATTTCATTGGAACAGGGGTTACATATGAGTGTGTATGAGATAGGTTGCAAGAGAGATGTAGTTTCGGAAATGGGCCTTCAGTGGGTATTTAGTGACCTAATCCACCTCTTAATGATCCCATCAGATCACAAAATAAAAAAAAGAAAAGAAAATACAATCTTTTAAAAAACGCAATCTAACTATGGGTGCATTCACATTGCACAGGGTGTTGCTAAACTAGGATGCCATCTACTGGGGGGAAGGGTACCAAAATGATAGTCGCTGTGTGTTTTTGAAGAGACGAGAGTGTCGCAAGGTGACAATGTCGGCAAGAAAATAATGGCCGACACCCAGGCTTAGTGTACGCCACCTACTCGCATCCTTCGTGATAAGCGGCACGGATAAAGGAGGGATTTCTCGAGAGCACCCCCACCACAGCCAAGATATACAGTATGTTCTCATGAGCTAATTCCACACATCGTTATTCAGCTCTCAGTCACTGAGCTAAGACAAATGAAAGAGTTTATGTTGGCAATGTTCCCTCTAATTTTCTGTCCTGAGCATTCACACAAACTCTCTGAGCGTCCCTTAGGACCATGATGCCAAACCACTATCACACTTGAAATCCTAAGAATTTACACAATTCAAATGATTATGTCACAAAAAAATTCAAGCCACCTTCAGTTCAAATTTGAATAAAGATTTGTGACATGAATAAAAACAAAACTGTGTTATTTTTGCTTTAGGCACACTGGTCATTTTAAGTACAATTAATTAAGTCTCAGATTCTCTAGAATCTGTATCAATAATAGTCCCATATTCTCCACTATAAAGGAAGAATGTCATTTTATAATGCATAAACATTTCTAGTTACCTCACCTTTGAAAAACGCAAAGAGCCTCATGTAAGGGGCTCGTAAACTACGAGCATATTTGGCCTGCAGCGTCACGTCAGTGATGACAGTCTAAGTGTGTGAAATATATGTTTCAAGCAAAACTGTGTATGCACCTTAGGTCATGCTCTTGAAACTGTAAGGGGAGTGGGAATGGTGTGGTGTCCTTTTTGTAGATTAAAGTTGGGTGGAAATGAAGGAATGAGTATAGAAATGGAATGCGTGTGCGCTGAAATTGCTCACGTGTACAGCTTGGATGGAACATTGCATGCTGGTGTTGTATTTTTGGGTTAATGGCAATCATTTTTGTTTCGCTCTTTCAGATGTTGAACATCTAAAACGGAGGGACATTATTTTGAAGAGGGAGCTTGGAGAAGGAGCTTTTGGGAAAGTCTTCTTGGCAGAATGCTACACTCTGTGCCCAAAAAAGGACAAAATGCTTGTAGCTGTAAAGGTGAGAGGGATAAATAAAAAGAGAGAGAGAGAGAGAGAAAACTGTGCACGTGTGTGTGTGTGTGTGTGTGTGTGTGTGTGTGTGTGTGTGTGTGTGTGTGTGTGTGTGTGTGTGTGTGTGTGTCGCTGCACATTCTTATGCTCAAAATTTATTTTTTGCCCACTGTAATCATCTCATCGCATATCACTAATCACATCCTTGCTTTTGGAGTCTGACTTCTAATAACTGTACACTTGACTTCTATCCACCCATCCAGTCAGTTTAAAACAAAATTAATTGATCAGTTTTGATTAATACCGATATTTTAAAACATTATTTTGGAAAGAATAAAATTTTAATTAGAACATTTTAAATGTGTTTGCCAGGAGTATTGGTAGTCTTGTGTGTGATTTGCTGAGCCAGACGCTATTTTGTACAGCAAAATTTGCTGGACTTGTTTGTGGAACATTCATTTTGGTACTCTCCATGGGTTAGAATAAAAATGTTTTGGGGGACCGTTTTTGAAGCCATGTTCTGTAGGTTTCCTCAGAGATGTATGATGATGACTGAAATATAATAAGAGGCGTGTCCAAATCTGGTCCCTGAGGGCTGCTATCCTGTATGTTTTCGATGTTTCCCTCCAACAACACATTTAATTCAAGTGATCAGGATCATTTCAGGCATCTACAGAGCTTGCTGATGAGCTGATATTTGAATCAAGCTGTGTTGGAGGAAGGAAACATCTAAAACATTCAGGAGAGAGGAGAACCGGATTTGAACAACTCTGTACTACATGATGGGCAAGTATCCCCGCCATCCACATTTTGGTCAATGAACTGTATGGACAATTGCACCCTAAACTTTGTTGCTGAGAAGCAGTGGTTCCAGCCATTGGAAAACTACACTGCGTTTAATACACCCTGCACATGATTTGACATTTGATTTAAACACACAATGCACTATTTCTTTCTTTCCAGACTCTGAAGGACCCCACTTTATCAGCAAGAAAAGATTTCCAACGGGAAGCTGAACTGCTGACCAATCTCCAACATGAACATATTGTGAAATTTTATGGAGTTTGTGTTGATGGAGATCCGCTCATCATGGTCTTTGAGTACATGAAGCATGGAGATTTGAATAAATTTCTCAGGTGAGGGCAGAAAAAGTGTAAACCATAGCCGGGGACTGTTAAGACTATACTAAAACAACAGTGAGTTAGTCAATCAGACATTCAGGAGATGCAATCCCTCCAGCATGTCCTGGGCCTCCTGGGATGTGCCTGGGACACCTGACAAGTGAAGTAATTCTAACTGGATGCCTAAGGCACCTTATCTGGCACAACAGTACTTTATGGAAGGATAGAAAAGGTCGACATTTGAGGCAGCCATGGCCAAGTGGTTAAGATTGTCCTCTGCCACAGAGGCAACACTGGTTCAAGACCATTCACTCCCCAAACACATGGCTGTGATCAGACACTGAAACCTGCTCCCCGCTCTTCAGTAGCCGCCTTCTCCACTGAGTACCACTAACAATGTGCGTTTGCTGTGTCCACCAAAGTCAAATTTCATGGAAATGTGTGTGTACATGACAAATGATAATTTAACCATAAGAGATTTGTGGTTGGCACAGCACTGACTCTTGAGAATATTCTACAGTCATCAACTGTCCCATCTGCCCTGAGGATGTGGTGCATAGACGCTCATGATGTTGTCGGCCAAAATTCATTTGTTCGTGGTGACCCACAGCCACAGATAATCCATTTTATTCACCAGGGACTGCACATAAGCAAGGACAATTATAAACAGAGATAAACATTTTGGAGTTATCTTTAGCCCGGCACTTAGACAGCCTCGCTATACCTGCCTTTGTTTATAATCCCTACGTTGCCTGTGAGGCCTTCCTGACCAGACTATTTGTCACTGGTTTCTTGGTGATCTCTGGAATGAGCCATTGACCATTGAAAAAGTTGTGGCAATCACCAGACCCGATGTCCTAAAGTTGTTGCCAGCTGTATGAGATTTATTCATTCATTCATCTTCCGAACCGCTTAATCCTCACTCGGGTCACGGGGGGTGCTGGAGCCTATCCCAGCCGTCTTTGGGCAGTAGGCGGGGGACACCCTGAACCGGTTGCCAGCCAATCGCAGGGCACACAGAGACGAACAGCCACGCGCGCTCACACTCACACCGAGGGACAATTTAACGTGTTCAATCAGCCTGCCATGCATGTTTTTGGCACGTGGGAGGAAACCGGAGTACCTGGAGAAAACCCACGCAGGCCCGGGGAGAACATGCAAACTCCACACAGGGAGGCCGGAGCTGGAATTGAACCCGGTACCTTTGCACTGTGAACTCGACGTGCTAACCACTGGACTACCGGGCCGCCCCTGTATGAGATTATCACAACAAAATTCTTCGGGAGCAGACATGAAATAAGAAGTAAAATAACTACAAACATTTACAATTTGGAATACAGAGCTTCCAGTAGTCATGGTTTTCTGAATTCAGTTGAAGTCTTTGAACTATATCATAACCATTTCACACACTCCTTAGAGCTCATGGACCAGATGCTGTGATCCTGGTGGACGGACAGCCACTGCAGACTAATGGGGAGTTGGGTCTGTCCCAGATGCTTCACATAGCCAGTCAAATTTCAGCAGGGATGGTCTACCTTGCATCACAGCACTTTGTACACCGTGATTTGGCTACCAGAAACTGTCTGGTAGGGAATGCTCTCCAGGTGAAAATAGGAGACTTTGGCATGTCAAGAGATATTTACAGCACTGATTATTATAGGGTAAGATCATCCATGTTTGTTTCATTAAACGGTCTACTGTCATTTGCTCATATTTGAAATATGTAGAGAATGCATGTACAGTACAGGCTACTGAGCTAAACTTGTTTTTATTTTAAAACAGGGTACCCTTGTAACCGAACTAGTTCACACAATTTATTAACTATGCACATTCGTATGTGTGTATGGTCAGGTGGGAGGTCACACTATGCTGCCGATTCGCTGGATGCCCCCAGAAAGCATCATGTACAGGAAATTTACAACAGAGACTGATGTGTGGAGCTTTGGCGTTGTTCTCTGGGAAATCTTCACCAATGGCAAACAGCCCTGGTTCCAGCTGGCCAATAACGAGGTACACATTCACTGATATTTGCACCAAAATCTGTGTCAAAATCGGAATCGAAGTTCGAAAGGAGGTTAACCAAATCGGGGTCATCTTCAGAATCAGAAAAATCTGAGTCTAAAAATGAAACATGGGGTGCGAAAACAGAAAAGGAGTGTGAAAAATTAGGAAAAGAAGATGGCACAAGTGAGAGAGATGTGGAAGAAAAGACAGAGCTTGAAGAAAGGGTGTGGGGGTGGTCAGCAGGCTGAGGGGGCTGGGACCGTGGCTTGTGACGGCCTGGGCGACCCATCAAGAAAGAGCGACATGAGAGATTGCTGGTGAATAGTCGAAGCAGCAGCCGGCGAGACCATCACTCCCTGATTGAAGGTGAAGGGATGATTCGGTGTTGGTGGTGACGTCTGAAGCTCAATGCATTGATTGTGCCTGAGTTTGCTGGTTCTATGACTGGTCAGTACGTACTGTCACATGAGGAGCGGAATTAGACATGACATGGAAATTGTGAAGGAAATGTCTTTTTTCGACAAAAATGCAAAGTAAAGACTGAGAGCAGGGATTGATGCAGAACACACAGAAGAGAGCTGACACTATATTTAACAAAATTTACATTTATATCTGTTCATCCATCCATCCATGATCAGAACTGCTTTATCCTCACGAGGGGCGCAAGTTTGCTGGAGCCTATCCCAGCTGACTTGGGGCAGTCGGCGTGATACACCCAGGCTTGTTTGCCAGGCAATCACAGGGCACACATTGAAAAAACATCCTTTGCATTCACAGTCACAATCGGGACATTCCCCATGCCCAGGCAGGCATGGGGAAAACATGCAAACTCCACACAGGAAGGCCGAAGCCCAGAATTGAACCGTGGACCTCTGTACGATGAGGTGGACGTGCTAACCAGTCGACCACCATGCCACCCAATTTACATTTGCATGTATATTTTTTGATGTGACCAGTTCAGGGAGTAAACTACCTCATGCCCTTAGTCAGCTGGAATAGGCACCAGCCAACCCCTGATCCTAATGGGGATAAGTGGTAAATAAAATGGATGGCTGGAATTTTAATGAAAAAAAAAAAAAACTTCAACAAAAATATTTATATATAAGTGCTGATGAGCCATTTTTATTGTTTGTACATTTTATTTGCAAGTACTATATGTAGTATTATAGGGTTTAGATTATATGTGTGTAATTACATATCATCACTTGTTTATATGTATAGAAAGAATGTATTACATATCATCACTTGTTTATATGTATAGAAAGAATGTAGACAATAACAATTCAGGACGATGTTGCGTGTCATAATTTATAATCTGTGTCATTCTTCTTCCAGGTGATTGAGTGTATAACTCAGGGCAGGGTACTGGAGTGCCCAAGGCTCTGTCCCAAAGGAGTCTATGACATAATGCTTGGCTGCTGGCAGAGAGAACCACATCAGCGCCTCAACATGAAGGACATTCAAAAGACTCTGTTATCTCTGATGAAAGCGGCACCAGTCTATCTGGACATTTTGGGTTAGAAAAAGACCATATGAAGGGGAACGGAATGTAAATTTAGGTCAAGTAGCAAATCAGTGTCACGGAATAAAATACATGACTCGCGTCAACATAGCCCAACATCAAAGTTCCAGGGTTTGACTGCTTTATTATGGGACAGTTAAGTCATGGTGGCACAAAATATAAGTAAGCCCTTGGAGATGTTTGTATGTACTGTATCTTGCTATCAGTGTTGGAATGCAGCTAGCTATCTGGACACCAACTAGGAAACTAGCTGATTGTTATTCATGAAAATAATATCGTATAAACATGTTCCCTAAGCAGCCTCCTGTTGGTATGTTGTCATTGGAAATTAACATTTAAATTTATAATAAGCTCAGTATGCCTTGATGATTGTGCTGTTGTGACTGATGCTCTTTAATGTTTCAGTTGCTATGCTGTGGCTCTTTATTCTGGAAAATGGGCTTGATCTCTCACAGTATTTAAAACCCATGTGCTGCAGTCGATGTAAATAAGTTTATATAACGCAACATACAATTTTACAAAAATTGTAAAAGTATTATTCCTGAATATTTATTTCACTTTCAACCACTCGACATGTTCAGTGGCATCAGTGCTATACATACACATATAGTTCTTATTGTTTTCTTTGTATTTTTGCTCTCTATGGACAATAAAAGCGGTATTGTGCTATGACCAAAACATAAATATAAATCTATATAAATAAAACATGAATTGCAATATTTCATATCACACAATTTTTATGCTTTGTCTTTGATTTAAAGATGACAATACGCAAAAATCTACAAAAATTGTAGAAATTGTAACACATGTGTTACAAAAATCGTAGAAATTGTAACACATGGGATAAACTTGGATTACTCGGTGACATCCCCCTGAGTATCAGCTCTTTGTCTTCTGCATCCAGCCCTGCTCTCTGTCATTACTTTGTATTTTGTAGATTAAGACTTACTTCGCAACTTCCGTGTCATGTATGCTTCTGGGTCCTAATTCCGCTCCTCATGTGACAGTATGTACTGACCAGTCATGGTCCCAGCAGACTCAGGCACAATCCATTGAGCCGGAGACGTCACCACCTGCTCCTAACCATCCAACCTACCACCCTCAGCCTGCCGACCACCCCCACACCCTTCGTGCAAACTCTTGTCTTTTCCTCCACGTCTCTCTCACCTGTGCCATCTGCTTGTCCTTGTTTTTCACACCCCACATTCTATTTTCACGCCCACTGTTTCATTTTCAGACTAAGATTTTTCCGGGACCAAAATAGACACCCAGGTAAAGGTTTTGGTTCCACCCGCAATCGCGTCTTTTACAAGTCTTGTCATGCTGAACCTGCCCCCAAGCCACTTTACTCCATCTTTTTCGTCACCTCATTCACTGTCTACTTCTTCATCTCCTCCCATTCATCATGTTTCTGCTAGTTCACCTTCCCCAGTACCTGTACTCCTGCCCCTCTGTGTCTCTTGTGCTCCCCAATCTCTATGGTGGCATGCTGATGAAGCAATGCCCCGTGCCGGCTCCTTGGCAGCTGCATTATCCCCTCCTGGCTACTCGAGAGCTGCAGGAAACTTCGCATCCGTCATGGCACTTCAGCAAAAGCAGGCCCACATCCCGGCTCCTTGGCAGTGCAATGTCCCAACCCTGCTCTGGTGGCATATGCCCTGAAGCCGTCCTCTGAACCCGCTTTGGCGGCACAACCTTTGCAGCCGCCCTCCAAGCCTGCTTTGTTGAAGCAACCCTTGCGACCGCCATCCAATCACTCCTCAAGGTCACTATCAGTAATTTAGAAAGGTTGGAGTAGGCCGACAAGTCCCAAACATATAACTGAAAACAATGGGATACTGAAAACACTTCTGGGAAATTTTGTGCTTGCCCATCAAGGTTTCGATAGTAAAGACACCATCTGAGCCTGCATGCATGAACAAGTTGGAAAGCACTTGGAGACTCAACTGAAACTTTTATGAGCATTCCATGTCCAGACCACACATTTACGTCAGTGTCCGACCTCTTAATTTGTGCCTATCGCAATGCTCACTTCTCACCCAATGTTGACTCGAAGATGTGCGCAATTGCACATTTTTCTCAACCCCCTCATTGCATAGCAAATACATACATCGCGTCCCCACAAAAATCAAACCTGCTGTTTTGTTATTTTGCATTTACATATGTGTTTCATGAAAGGAAATTGAAAAGTTGATTTTGGCACGTGGCTGATGGAGCAGGAAAAAAAAAGACTCAAAAATGACAACATTGTGAAAGTGTGGGAGCATTTCAGATTGATATCAGAATCAGTATCAGAATCATCTTTATTGGCCAAGTATGTAGAACACACAAGGAATTTGTCTCCGATATAACACGCTGCATTAGTATCATCATAAACAAGGACATGACAAATAGGTATGGAAGGACATTCCGTAATGTAAGTGAACCGTAGTGTGGTGGTACCACCCAGTGACAACTGTGAGACAATGTGCAAAGTATCAAGCAGAGCTAAAGTGATCAGTGGTAGAATACAATACTATGACAGTTGTACAGTTGGTGCAGAAAATCATTCAACCATTTTAAAGTGACCAGTAGCAGTATTTGTTGTACACGAAGAGTGCAATTGTGCAGATGTCCTTGTGCGCTTTAAAGTGTCTGGTGCGGTGGAGTATACGTCAGTGACTGTTTAGGGAGTTAATGGCTAGAGGGAAGAAGCTGTTTGTCTGCTGGATTTGGTGCGCATGGATCGGTAGCTCTTGCCTGAGGGGAATAGCTGGAAAAGGTGGTGGATGGGGTGTGGGGGCGTCCAGTAAGATTTTCCGTGCCCTTGTCTTGGTTCTTGCAGTGTGCAAGTCCTCAAGAGTGGGTAGGGCGGTGCCAATGATTTTTT